CAGGAACATGTGTTTAATCCAAAAATCTGCCTGTTCCTAACCTGGATCAAGGCAGACCTGACATTACCCTACACCCACTGTAAAGCCAATTTTTAACCTAGGAATCCTTAATATTAGAGAGGCAAAAAAAGCCAGCAAACTATTTATCTGTCACATCTTTCGAGTGTGTTGAACAGTTGTAGAATACCTGACAACTAAGCTGAATACAGCCCCAGTAATGGAGATACATACTGAGACAAAACACCTTCCAGTACTGAAGGAACTTTCCATCAGTGAAACTCCAGCACTTCCTTTTCTGGAAGAGACCAGTAACCCTGTCCTCACATTTACTTTCAGAAAATGACCTTTTAAAGTAAAAACAGCTGCCTGTAAAAAGCTTTTTTATATCATAGAAATTACACACTTTAGCCCTCACACTTAAACAAACCATCGAAGAACTGTACGCTTAAGACTTTTTCTGAAAAATCCAAGTGGCTGGTAAACACACAGCTCAACTGATGCTACTAGTTGCTTAATACTCGGGACTTCATGCATGGTAACACACAAGTATTCCATGACAACTGACCAAGGAAGCTTCTTCACCTTGAGTACAGCTGGTCGACATTGAGTCATCTGATCTGTTCAAGACGGTCATGTAAATTTATAATTAAGATGCAGTTTTAAAGAACAATGACACATAAAAATGCTATGACAGCATCGTGAGATACACCTTCATACTTCCTAATCGTGGCTGAGTTACAAGCTTGGGAGAAAAAGTTAATTCAACTCATACACAACCAACATAATGCAAAGCAAATTACAGCACGTGATACAAAAACTCTTAAAACACCAACATTCTATTATACCTGTATTTTAGGGTTTTTACAGGAAAATCCAAATTTGCTTCTCCATATGCAAGGTGTACACTTTCGCTGTCCCCTGTCCGAAGCATTCTCTCTGCTTCCTGTAAATTCCAAGTAAAAAGTTTACAAAATTACTCATGAAGCAGAAATCCAAGTATCATCTCGTACTGGTAGTTAATTTTCATAGGGGTAAGGGGCACTTCCCTGTAGGTACTAGTGTTGAATGCACAAGATGTAGTTTAAGACCTTTTTCTTAGAAGCATTTTATCCAGGTAGGAGGGGTGGGGGATTGGGGAAAGAGAGTGTTCCAAGTTTTGTAAGTAATTCAGCCACCTGGTGTACAACTAGACAACACTTTTATGGAGAATTTATACAAGCTATACTACTATATTATTGGTAACTAGCAGTTGGTTTTAACTACAGTTCTGCAAGCACACACAAGCAAAACATCCCTTATATGATGAACAGTTCTATGATTCATTTAAGCAGGGTAAAGATCCCTACTCCATCGCTCTTCTCTCCCATCCACACCCATCCCACACACCTTTTAACCTGATTAAAGAGAAAGAAAACAACATTTTTTGTTAAAAACTGCTCCTTTCCAGTTTGCTTGCAAATTTTAATCACAAATAAGAGTCACAGTTCACAATATCATCATTGAAACACTGACTCTTCCTCAACTTAATTGCCAGTAATAGTTCCTCTGACACTAAACCTCATCAGTAAAGAATTTCAAAATGCGTATCTGGTATATAAGGTCATATGCTTAGGCCACTTACAATTCTTTTAAGTCTTACCGAGTATTTTCTAGTAATTTACAACACGCTTAGTTTGATTGTTTTCATACTTACTGCCTTCTGTTTTTTCTTTTTGTCATCTTCTTTCTTCTTTTTACTTTCTGGCATAAGATCATCAAGCCAGCTAAGCTCTCTTTTGGTGAAACATAAATCCATGAGCTTGCGAATGAACACTAACGCTAGAACCTTAAGGGAACCACAAATTGGATAATTTTAATATTAATTTTAATATTAAAATATTAAACTATTTAAATGAAAAATTCACACACTTTCAGTACATTTAGAATCTTTAACTGAAGCCCTTTCTTGCAGTACTAGTTTTATCTTACCATAAAGTTAAATAATTTCCACTTTCAATAGCTATTCAAAACTGAATTGCTTATTTTCAAGAAATGAGAAGTCCTTATGCTTCAAAAAAAAAAGCAATTTGTACTACGGGTTCTTTTATTTCTTTCCCACTCCCTTCTTTCTTAAGGCAGCAGATATGTTCTGAAGGGATCCTGGATGATGCATGTACTCTTGGAAAAATATTAACTTGAAAAACAGATAACTTACCATCATAGGGAAAACAACAGCAGCTGCAGAGGCTTTAATCACCCACAACAGAACTAGACAAGTGAGCTGAACAACTGTAAAGATATGGACCTTCCAAAGTGGCACATAACGCAGATAAATCAGGTCAGGTTGATGTTTGGCAGGCATTCCAAATAATTTTATACGATCAAAAAACTGCATTGAAAAATAAAATCATCCATCAGTTAACTATTTTCTCCCCCTCTGTAAGGAAATAAGTATTTTTAGGGGACTCCAGAAACAGAGGTTAATCTCAAAAAAAATAATAATGAAGGACACTGAACATTCAAGGGGGTGGGGCTGGGGGCTGTTTTATTTTGTTGAGTATTTCTCCCGCCTCTCATTACTACTATAAAATTTCAGAGTATTTCAGAAAATCTGTTGCTCAGCAACAGTAGTGAAAGAATAAATGCAAAAGAACTGAGAACTGAAGGCACAACAGTGTATTAAGAACAAATATCTGAACATGACACTCAGAACATTATCCCACATACTAGTCCGAAAATGTGAGCTAACTTTACTGTTGCTCACATAAAGCAATGCGTTAGCCTCGTTTTCATTTGAACAAAAGCAAATTACTCATTAAAATCAGACTTTACCTGAATGCCTTTTAATGAAGATACTCCCATGTAAAGAAAGACACCATATAGAACTGGCATTGGAATAAACTGGGGAGGAAAAAACACCCACACAGTTACTTGTGGAATCAACATGGCAGAAGACAGCAGTCCATACTAGTGAAAAACATGGACTGAGTTATTTTTTACTTTATATTTTACTTAAGTGAAATCTTTGTCTGTAGAGAAAATACATGCATCACTGAGCAGCAAAAAAATCTGGAGCCAACAAGGCTATCACCAAGATTAAAAAAATGGTTCAGTCTTGACTGCCCATTCATTCGCTTTTCTAGGTTGCAACCAAGATTTCTACTAATGCTAAGTATGCTGCTTTATGTTGCTATCTGACAGGAAACGTACTGAGACTATACAATTCGTGAAATTGCCATATGAAGTTTTACTGTTGCTCACTAATCTTGCATTTCTGGAGCAGATGAAACAGAAAACCGACCTACTGAGCTATGAAAATCTGCTAATTATTCAGGGCTAAATTTTGTTCCAATAAGATGATCAATTTAAAGCTTGCTAAGATAAGGAAGTTATCCACTGGTTTCAGTGGCACACAAAGCAAGTGAAACTTTACTGGTTCCTGAACCCATGAAACTTCTGAGTAAAGGACAGCCAAGACACAATTCAAAATCTTAAAAACTGCTGCTATCAGGCCTGAACAAAAAAGGCTTTGCTGAAACTTAGATAGTGTGGAATAAAACTATGCCTTAGGGATTCATTACTGCATGTGTGTTTGTGTACGTGTGTGTATATATATATTTTTTATACATATTTATATGTGTATATATGTTTTTAAAAGCTAGTGTCTTTACTGTAAGATCTGTAACTTGACATGCGAGTACTTCATTTATGTCAACTTGCACTGCATAAAATCAGTATAAATCCATACATGGAACAAAAGCACAACCACCTGCAAATGCAAGGCTTTGCTCTCCTTCCTTCTCTTCATAATAACAGCCATTTACATTGAAAAATAAAAACATTTCAAGAAGATCAAAGAGTAGTAATTCCATTCCCAATACCCTTGGTTCCATAAAAAAGTGGAAGTATTCGTTTCTAAGAATCAGCCAATAAAACGTGAGGTAAACATCTAGCTTCAGCAACCAGCACCTTTACCTTTTACTTTTGAGTAACAAAAAAATCTATTTCAATATTTCTGATCCTGACCATTTGCACTATACAGCTGAGCTCTTGGTAGCTTTTCAACCAGAGACTGTCAAATCTGCATACTCATTTTTAATAACTGCTATTGTTTTCAGAGTTTTTACATTCTTTAAACACTCACAAATAGTCAGCTATTAAGAATTTATAGTATACAGCTGTAACTACTAAACTATAGTTGTGTGCTCATAGGTTAATTTCCTCCCATTATCTACACTTAAACAGCTATTACAAGGTACCTTTTTGTGAAACAACTTCTGATCTGTCTTTCCACAAACTTTTAAGAAGTTCTTTAAAGGTATTAACAACTATGCAATTTATGCCACATCTTGGGAACATTTTGGGAACAGAACGACAGTTTTTTTCCTTTCTCCTTTTAACTACTGGATTTGAAACAACAAAACATAAATTGAATGTATTTTACTCAAATCTGAGCAAAAAGCCAGCCGAACTATTTGGTTTTCCTTCAGTAAAGTCTTCAGAATGGCACTATGGATATAAATTAAGAGACAAAGTGTAAACCGAGGCTAAAACATGACCTGCAAAATGTCTATTACACCGTGATGATGCATAAGATAATCTTCACACTTTAAACATCGAAAGAAGTTTAATAAGCTGAAGAACAAGCAGTGAACATTGCCACTTTTGATGACCACTTTTTAAACCCGGTGTTTCCCTTTCTTCTGCTATATTATATTACTTCTGCTCAAGTGACTTTGTGTCTTTATCACACTCCTTTTCTCTCTATATATACATGCTCACATAAAAACTACCAGAGAACTATTTTAGGTAACATGGACTCAAGAAACTAAAAAATAGCTGGCAAGAAAATCAGGTAACATGGACAAAGGTTGCTCTCTTCACTACTCGCTGCACTTCTAGCTTGCTCAGCTTTAATTTTCTCAGATCTCTCCTCATTGTTTCTGTTCAACTAATACCTGTTGTTAAAAAGGCAATGTGAGAACAAGTCCAGGCATATTTTATTTAACATAATAAAACTTCCTAACATTATGAAATGCTAAATCACAATACCAAAATCAAAAGTACAAAGAAAATAGAAGTAGTTTGGAAAAACTGTCTTTTACCTTTAACACAGAGGTCATGAACACTGACAGCCCCATCAGGACAAAAATCATCAATCCTGTCACTCGTTGCTCCCGGATTCCCAAAAACTTCGGTTGCTCTCCTGGTGCTGAGCATTCAGATTCAACTTTCAGGCTATTGACATGGCTTATAGATAGGACAGTTGCAGCAACAAACCACGGTAAGCCCATGATAGAACATAACCCCAGCATAACACCAACCATGAGCAGATCAAGATGATAACCACAGCCTTTCTGTAAAATTAAGATAAAAAATATTTGATAAGCTTTCTATTTATATGATAGCATACCTATAACTTAGCTGATCAACAACAGATAACTACAAGTTAGATAATTTGAGAGTGTCCACAGAGTTATATTTGCTCTTTGTTACTCAATATACACGTTTACTTAGTAGCTGTTGGTAACATTTCACAAACTTGCAGAATGAATCTAGTTAAAATAGCTTCGACTTGCACAACGTTAGCGTTTTGAGAAAATGACTTTTACCCTCAGCTTATGCTCTTTCCTGTTTATAATAACAGCTGTTATTTGTTGATCCATGAAAATAAGAATGGTACAGAGTAAAGCAGGAATAGCAGCTATCAAGAGTGTCCACCACGGATTGACTCCAAGAGGATTTATGAACCATCCTCGGTCTTTTCGAGTGGGCTGAAAAAACAAACATCAGCAATAAGAATTAAATGCATAAGATAAAATGCAGATTTTATTGCTACAAACAGTTGCAATGAACAGATCAACAGTCTCTTAAATGTCTTTATTTTCTCCAATGGCTTTGACCGAAAGACTGATATAGCTGTTACATGTCAATGTGACATTTACATGAAAAAAATTAAACAAATCCATTCTATTCCTTTTCTGCACATTTGCACAAAAGAATGGTTCCTTTTCATTCCTAATACAATATAACGCATAGTCTGTTCTGTCAGACGAGACACACATCCGAAACAGAAAAGTAAGATTACTTCATCAACTACATCATAAGTAAAAGCCATAAATCTCTTTCTGTACAGTTCCATTGTTTTACTGTCTATGAAACTGCAAGCATTTCAAAAGTTAAGTTTTTTAAAAGGTTTTATTTCTTACTTCAAACTTCTCTGGAACATGAAGCTTAGGAGAAGGTACTCCTACAAGATAGTCAATCAAAACCATGATTACTATGGTCAGAAATACTGCAAAGTCACTGATGGTAGAACGCACCTATAAAGAAAAGACTTGTGTTACCTCTTGCTTTTTCATCATTCTAATTTGCATGTATAGAAAGACAATTTTCTCCCCTATGAATAGCGAAGTCTATTTATATTATACTACACCACTGAACATTATATTTATTTTCTTTCTATTTGAAAATTTAAGCTGCCTGCCAGCACAGCATGAAGTTGCAGAAGGTAAGCATTCTGTACAACTGTTCATCCAATTATCTCATTTTAAATGACCTACTGCGAGCAGAAAATAACTTAAAATAACTCCTTCCTCATCTTCTTGTCCTCTCAACCCTACTGGGAGGCTGAGCCATCACAGCTAGTCTCTTGTAGCTTAATTCAATAACATCACCGAATTGTTCTGAAATCAATATCCGTATGTTTGACGTTTTGATAGAAGGAGGGATAATTTGCAACAGATTCAGGTTATCAAAGGTGACTTTATTAAACATTAGGAACACACTGTAGGGTTGAGTTGAGGTTTAGAGAAGATCTCATCACTTTGTTTTGGCCAGCAGAAATAAGTTGCATAAATCACTCCAACGATAATCATTATATTAGCCTCTTATTAGAAACAGTAATGCCCTGAGGAACTACTGAGAACCTTTCATATGTACATACATACAGCAGTTTGGGGAAAGCAATCAACTGTTCTATATAGGTAGGTGAGGAAAACAGCAGCAATACTAATTACCTTTCCAAATTGTACCTGGCAATACCCATTCATATGGGGAGACAGACTGCTTACGTCTTCCAACGCTTAGAAAATCTTATTATAACTACATGAAAGTAGAGAGAAAGCACTGAATTTTCAACAGCAAATTTCTTTACTCTAATGTCTTCATTTTTGGAATTATTAGCTAATTTTCTGTTTTTAATTTCTTTTTCTGTCTTTAAAGAAATTTTTTAATAAAAAGTTCTGAAGCAAAATGAAAAAAGTTAACTCTGTTAAGTTACACTAATGTATTTGTCACAAGTTAACAACAGTCTGTAATCAGAATTACCTTAGTTGGGAAATAGCGTTTGGTCTTGAATTGCTTAAGGAAAGAGGAGAGGAAAAATGTTGTAAAGAATAGTATGACAGACCAGAAGAGAACGTCTGGAATATATGGTCCACGATGGCCACAAGCTGATCCACGAAACACACCATGAAAATCTAAACATTGCTGCAAAGAAAAAAACTTCAATTAAAACTCCTTAGATTTCTGTTTTATTCATTTAGTACATTCAACCTAACTTGTAGCTTTTTGATATAAAACACACCTGAGAACATTCACAATCCCAAAAAAGAGGGTACTTTCCTTGATCACTACCTCATTCTGAAATGCCAAATACGTGTGCTGTCTGTTCCAGAAGAGCCACAGTATCCATCACTGATTATTTCATGATGCCAAAATGCTGGGAGGTGCCCAAGAACAAACAATTTCTTTACATTCACCTCATTTCTATTCTGTTTCTCAAAGCATCACAGGACTGAACACACAAAGACTGAGGACTAAGCCCAGGAAAAGCAGACTGTCCAAAATCAACTTTCAAGCTGATGAACTAAGAAAAGAGATCTCCTCGGTGTCTCCCACCTCTTTATTCTTGACTTTATTTTTTCCTAATACAGTTAAGGAAAAAGCTCTCTTACAAAATGAGATTAACCCAACAGTAAGAAAAAAAAATTGTAGCAAAGCAGAAAAGCATCATAAATAATGAATTTGAATAAAAAAGACACCCAAGTCAGACGATCCCTATCCAAAAGGCTCACTGAACAAGTCAATAAGTCAAACACTTGGAAGCAGCAGCACTGCCACAACCTAGTCTTTAAACAGGTTAATTTATTGAAAATTCAACTGCAACAAAAATTCTCCCTGTTAACAATCTACTTTGACTATAAGCACCACCAAATTCTGGATCAGTTCTATCTCTGGGAAGACTAAAGATGCTTAAGAAGATGGAAAGGTATATAAAATAAATAGCAAATATAAAGTAAATATAAAAACTAAGTTCAAGAGAAACTGCCATCTTAGGTGATTATGGTAGACTAGGAGCCATTGGTGGTACACAAAAAACACTACCGCTAAAACTCAGGTAAAGCACTGAGGTTTTTCATAGTATTTTTGCTGTGCAAAACATCTTCTACTTTCAGTGTGAACATCTAGGCTCACACAAAAGGAGAGCCCACACATGGATATCTACTGCCATTTTAGATAGCCTAAGGTGGCCAAAGGAGGCACACACAGCTAGCAAATGCAACACAAAAATCTATAGCAGATCCAAATCATTCAAGATGTAGGCAGAAACCAGATGCCAGAGTATTTAAAGTGGCTCCATTTAGGCAACTGAACCCCACCCAAGGAACTAGTAATCAGCAGAAAAGTTTCTTCCTAAAAGGCTTCAGTATCATTTCCACACAATAACCTTCCTCATCTTCACTTACCCACAAAATTAGATACTGGTATGAAATACCCAGGCCAAGAACGTAATGCTTTCAATGGCTGTAGTTCTATACCAACATCTGACCAATCAACTGTGCTTGTTACCACATTTTAACTGCAGATTCCATTTCCACATGTTCTTAAAAATATTTGTTCATCACTTCCAGGAAACTGAAGGAAGCAACCTCCTGTTTATTCACCTCATCATATTTGTCTGCACTTCAGAAAGAAGACTGTTCAGCCTACCAGGATTAAAGTGGCTACCTCAAGCAGACACATATGATCTTAGCATTTACTGCCAGGGACTAACTCATCCAGACCACTACAATGACTGTTGAAAGCATTATGGGAGGAATAAAAGAGTTCAGAAGTACAGTTTTAAAGAAAACACTCTAGGTTCAAATCAAGAAAGAAACCAGATGAAAAGTATTAATCAAGACTGGTACTATGTGGGTATTTATTTTTTATACATACATACATATATGCACACACACGTAGCTTTTAGACACTCACAGTAACTGTAAGGTTACTCCATGCTATATTTTCCACAGACTTATTCATTCTCCTCCACACTTGCAAAGTTTCATTGCTGGGTTGCTCAGGCTCAGAACACACACATCTGAAGGGAAGAAAAAAATAATTTACACACCATTTCATTTTAAAAAAATTGGTGTAGATGACACAGTTTCAGCAACTCCTTTTCAAATCAGACATGCTATTAGCTTCTGCACGTTTCCAGGTCTTTCTGAAAATTTTGATAGAGTTAGTCATTTTTCTTGCATTTGCTGTGCATTCCGATCTACACAAGACCAAAACTGGTCACCCTGAATTAAGACACCATTTTTGAGTATGTAGTGGGCTAACTAAAAATACAAACGCATAAATTGCTCAGACTTCAAGGAACTGCATACACGCATTTTAATAACTTCTTGAACACATAAAAGTGCCTGTCCCTACTGCAGTGGTTTGCAGACTTGGACTGCAGAACCCCTTCAGTCAGAGAGGTTGACAGAACAACACATCAATTTAAAAAAACAAAAAAAACCCCACACCACAACACATTGTATATTGATTTAACAGGGTGTTTTCATATAAAGCTATTCAAGAACACCAAACCATAAGCTTAATATGTAAGCCTTTATGTAGAAGAGGAGAAACAGATAATAAGCAAGAAAAAAAAGACTTTTTCTATGAGATTCATCAAGATACTCAAAAAGAAAGAACCACAGAAGAGTGAACTTGAATCCTGATAGTGTGAAGGTGAAGAAGGAAGAAGTAGTAAATGTGCATGGGCAAAAAGAATCTAATTTGCGAAGCACAATGCTTACGGAACTTTAAAAAAATGAGAAGTAAATATATTTTATTTTGATAACTGAATCCTAAAGTAACAGCAAAAAGAAATAGAAGATTGGAAAGCTGCAATTCCTACAAGGTAGTTGCAAACACAGCAACAAGAATGATCAGAATAGAAAGGAGTTGCAACAGTAAGTATGAGACGAGAAGAAACCATCTTTACTTGTTGGTCAAGGAAGTAATATGAACAAGCACATCAAAGGAAGACCGACAGACAAATTTATCAAGAAATGCAATGAACATAAACGATGCCACCAAGCAGGTAAGTGAAAATCCAGGAAGAGAAAAGAAAAAAACCAGAAGCTGTAAGAGTCTGTGAAACTGTTTTCTGGCCCAATTAACTGAAGATGCTTTTTCTGCACCCTCTTCCCACTGGGCGAACAGAGATTGAAAAAAAAAAAAAAAAAAGGCAAGCAAAAAAAAGGCAAAAAAAAGCAATTATAAAAGGCCACATCTCCTATAGCTTTGTGATAGAAAAAAACACAGGACAAAGTAAAGCTGAAGTCTTTGGCACATCATGGAAGATGTGTGACACCTTACAAAGCTAAACCAAGGCAATGTCACACCTTCCTCTCTCCACCCTCACAGCCTGCCTATGCTAGTGTAGTAAAACACAGTCCGGTGGCAAGCATCAGAAAACCTACAGACCTACAGCACAGCTTCTGCCAGATTAGTGAATTTAACATGCTCACATCAGAGTCCAGTGAGGTCCTAGAGCCACTCAAACACAGAAGGATGAGCAGCCAGGAAAAGGGGGAAATTAGGAAGTGAGCGTACTCCCATGGCCCGCTCCTGGCAACATGGCCTGATCTTACCAGCTGTTAAGACAGGAAAGTGAGTATGAATGCCACGTGAGAATGGAATACAAGAAGCAGTCTGAGAGGGTGTTTGCCCAAAACTGATCATGTTGAAAAGCAAGATGATGGCCATCACCTGATTGAATAGTAACAAAGGAACTTCAAAAAAAAAAAAAAGAAAAAAGGAATCATCCTGAAAGGAAGTATCAATGAAGCATGAATGTTTGTAAAAGCAAGGAGAGATCTTGGGGGTGGAAACATGATAGTCAAAACCCAGTTAGACACTGGCAGAAATCACAGTGTGCACCATGGTCTCTGCCTCAGCCAGGCAGCACAGCTGCCCAGCGGGATGGTGAGCAGTCTGCCCTCCAGCTAGGGACTGACCGCGGGGTGCCGCAAGCAGGGACCCCCACTGCTGGCGTATGGACCCGACCCCACCAGTGCGCAACTGCGCAGACTACGGAGAACCACGCAGGGACAAACAGGGCTGCAGGACTCACATCTGCAACAGGAGCAGAGCACTAGCAGAGAAACCCATGCTCCTCAGAGACGGTGAGTGACTGTAACCCACGCACCTGGGGCTGGAGGGTAAACACCGGTGCAGGCATGGTTAGAACTTTCATGGATTAGTAATAGAAGAGAATTAAAACGTGTGCAGGTTCTTACTGGTATTTCTTAAGTGTCTTGCATTGTGGTTGATCTGCTGCATTACTGATATTGATGGTGAACATATGGAACACTGATTGACAGTTAACTGCGTTGTCATTGATGAATCAAAAAGAAAGCTTTGCTCTTGATTTGGTTTAAACTATGTGAAATGAGCAGTTTCTCTCAGCAACAGCTACCAGGATTTCCTGTTTCCAGCAGGTGTGAGCTGGTAACCCTATTCACCATATTTCATGCAACTATACCGTAAGCTTGGAAACTCCACACTGAGCAGCAAAAGATAAAGCAGCATTCACGCACATCATCAAAAACTAAAACATGCATAGTGTCAAGACACATAGTATAAAAAGCCCTCAACGCTAATTTCACCATATAAGCTAACTCTTTTAATTCAGAAGTGGTACAGCTGCACACCAAAATGTCGTGTACTGGGTTTGCGCGGCAAGGTTTTAGTAGCAGGGGGGCTACAGGGGTGGCTTCTGTGAGAAGATGCCAGAAGCTTCCCCTATGTCCGACAGAGCCAACACTAGAGCCGTTCATGGAGGACTGTCTCCTATGGGAGGGACCCCACACTGGAACAAGGGAAGAGTGTGAGGAGGAAGGAGCGGCAGAGACAACGTGGGATGAACTGACCGCCATCCCCGTTCTCCGTCCCCCTTGCGCCGTTCCTAAGGAAGAGAAGGTAGAGAAAAATCGGAAGCAAAGTTGAGCCCAGGAAGAAGGGAGGGGGTGGGGGAAAGGTGTTTTAAGAATGAGTTTTTACTTCTCATTAGTCTACTCTCTGTTTTGCCCATGACAGTAACTGCCAAGTGATCTTCCTGTCCTCATCTCGACCCACGAGCCTTTCGTTATATTTTCTGTCCGCCTGTCCAGCTCAGGAAGGGGAGTGGTAAAGCAGCTTGGTGGGCACCTGACATCCAGCCAAGGTCAACCCACCACAAGCAGATAATATACTACTGCCATAGAAATAAAGCAAATGTAAAAAACATACACCTAAATAGCTTGCTTATTACATTCCTTAAATGAAAAAACGTTTTTTTTGTAGTTTTACTGCTGTTTTTTATGATGAATATAACTAGTTCTACTTAGTTGGGAAAGAAAAAAAAAGTCTGTATTGTATTTTTTATTATTTTCCTGTCTCTCAAAAAAAATTTTTACAAGTCAAGTCTTCCCCATAATTGCAGTAGAAAGCAACACTGTTTAAAGATGTCAACTGCCTATTCATAGCACGTGAAAGTTGCAGAAGGTCTCAATGCCTCAGCTACCTGGAAATAATCCGCATCCAGACTGGGTAAACTATCATGACTTCTAGAAGTGGCAAGGCAGAACTCCTGTTCTGACTCATAGTCTCCAGGCTGACCTTCAATAAAGCTGCAATTAAAGCAGGCATTGTCACAGTCCCTCATCCCTTCCAACCACCCATAGCTAACACAGAAAATTCAATTGCACAGCATCCTGAATAGAATTTTTCTGAGGTTTCTCATGCCCATACCACCCCCAGCATTCCTCCTACCCTTCCACAGAGAGGCACACATTGCAGTTTAGTAACTGGTATGTCTCTATACCACAAACATTTTCCCTATGTATTTTACTAACAGACAGAAACTTGGTACGTACGAATAGAAAGTCAGTTTATCCAAATCATTGTGCATATTGAAGGCATACAATTCTCCCAAATGAAAAAGCTTTTCCAATGCCTCATAAATAAATATGATGCATATAAGCGCTGCGAAAGCCTCCTCAGTAAATCGAGTGATGTAACACACAAGGCTGCTGGCATCTGTGGCTACAAGCACTACGCAAAAAAGTGCAGTCCACAGACCAATGCTAGTTCGCAAGGAGAGGTAGGAAAGACCATAATCCCTGTGTGAAGAAAGAAACAAAAGTATTAGCTGAGCCAAAAGTCACCCGCGCTGTAGTCTATTTGAAAATAAATAGAGGCCAAGCTGTACAGATATTCACCACTTCTCTCATCCTTGATGTTGGCTCCAACTGAAGCAGAAATTTTTCTGTCCCATTTTCCACCAAAGCAAAGCAACACTGCAAGGTGTTTCTAGAATCAAGGGCAGAGCTACCTAGTTTGGGAAGCATCACGGGGATGATCTTTCCAGAACTACCTACATGTTTTCTCCTAGAAGGCAGATCAATCCCTGCTTACCCCTGCAGAATCAAAGCCAACACCTCTACACAGTCAAAACATCTTTTATTTCAGTCCTAGTCACCTTTCATCACTGATTTTCTCACTAAGGCTCACCAGTGCCTCACAGCTTTGCAAACCACATCTACCTCAGTCTCAGCTGCATTTACGTCTTCACGGACATCCACATTTAACACAGATCTGCTTTCAACTACAGCTATTCTAACAGGCTAGAAAGTTAGTAAGTGCATCAAGGCAATGCAAACATCACTTACCTGCAAAATTTAAATAATATTTTTTCAAATACTAGAACTGGTCCGGTGCTCCCCAAAATAGTAAGAGGTTGCCCAGCAAAGAGAGAATAGGCAATCCCAGTTAATGAGGCTCCAAAGAGAGACTCTATTGCACTCTGTTTGGGGGAAAAGAAACTGCTGTAACTGTGCTGCCTTTCAGGTCAGCATTTAGCGTCACATCTGCATAAGTACAGTTTTAAGATGCATTAACTTAGAAACAAGACAAGATGTAAAAACATTGCAATAAATATTGATGTTTGAGACAAGGATAAGTTAACACAGTTTTGCAGTAACAATACCACGGACAAAAGGTTTTGAGAACTTCACTCCTGAGAAACACAAAGTCATCCAACACCATGAGCACAAGTTACTAGTCCTGCTAACTAAGGAGGAAAAACATACCAACAATTACTACAAATTTAAAAGTTACTCAATATGTAGTTTACAGAAATAATTATCTGTCTCTGTAAATCTGTAAAGAAAATGGATGTATATATATTGCAACATATCTGTACCAAAACATGATACGATGTACCGTATCAAACCTGCATCAGTCAACCAAGCATTACAAAAACAAAAAACTGACAGGCAGAGGTGGAGGGGAAATTACTGAACAATATTGGTTTATGTATACATGACACCAAAAATAGATGAGCAGTAAACCAAGGTCCCACCTGGTAATGCATTTCTTTATATTGAAGTAAGATCTCTACTTCAGTTCTTGAATTAAAGGTTTTACTATGGCATTTTCTGCTAAAAAAAAATGTTACAGTGCACCTCAAAAGAGAAGGGCAAGACTTTCTAGAATCTAAAATAATATTAAGGTTACTTGAAAGTAATTAACTACACCGTTTACAACTACAAGAAGTCATGGATTACAGATTAAAGGGTTCCTGGTGGAATTTTTCAGTGTTTGCTATTTTGCAACTATGCAAGCCTAAGAAAACAATCTTTATGCAAACTTCAGCTCCAGTTCAGGAAAGCATCTAGAATTGGCAAAATGGTTTGCTGAACTGGGGATATTAAACATGAAAACATGAGTGTGTTGTTCCTTGGGGGGGGGAGGGGTAAAATCCCAGCCTCTTGTTCTATTACCTTTGAATTAGTGCTTTTGGTTAGTCAATGCATTAACCTTGGGGCTCTCAATCAGGGTGGCAGGGACAGGAGTACTGTGGAGGTGATGACCTCTGGGAATGTGAGGGAAGGTTTCAAACACAAACTGTGTACCTTACAATGTCAGCTACTGTGCTTGAACATGTGTGTGCAGTAACTACATTTTATATTCAATGATGCACACCAAATATCTGAAGGCAGGAACAAACCCACAAACAATTCCAGACAGCTAAAAGAAAGAAGGTGTTTAAGAATCAAGCTTTAGAAGAAGCATATTTTCATAATTATACATGACGTGCATTCAAAAGTGACATGAACATTTTGATAACCATTCCTACATTTAGAGTGCCAAAAACATCGCACAGAAAAGATACCATTTATCTCTGTGTTTGCTATCAGCTTGAAGTGCTATATCAATAAACATAAATCTGAGTCAATAGCATTACTTGAAAGAGATAAAATCGTTAACTAAATTTTAATACAGTACAAGCTTAAAAACGCAATCTACGTATCAAGAAGAATTTTATAGCATAATAAGCTTTACCAGAATCTTAAAACTTGTAGAGGACACGTCTGAATACATCCTTCCCTCCCCCAAAAGGACAGAGCCTTGTTTCTTTGTGATGGATTTAAAAACAGAAAATACACTTCAAACTAGTTAACTCAGAAGCCAATTAACACAAGCACTAAGTTATTAACATTGCTGATGTCAAGTATTCTTTCCCTGCCCCAAAAAACAAAGTGCAATGATATTTTGGTTTAAAAGGTGCTGTTGTTATCTACTGCCCAACAGAACACTACCAAAATTTTGTACGTGTATGGTTTATGCTCAAGTCGTTTATAAGGAAGAGTATTTTCTGTTCATAAACCATAACCACTTTATTGTTAACAACATACCATTAGTGAAAGCAGGTACATATCCTGTCCGTTACTGAAACACACAATAGACTGCTACCCGTACACTGCAGGTATTATCATGCTCGTAGGCCTACCACTCAAGGCCAGCGCATGTTCTTGGCTACCCACCTTGAGCCTCTGACTTTGCCTAAAGTAGGCCTAGTGGGATGGTGCACCTTTACTGCTATTGGTTACTTTCAAGTAGCCAAAAAGCAGGTAATGCAAGCCCTTTCTCAATTCATGAAGCCATTCATCCAGTAAGGCAGGATAAACATTTTTTACCTCCACTGTGCATCTTCTCCTGTTCACATGGGTTCCCCACATTTTCCACAGCAATTACCTTTTGGGGAAGATCTGCTTTGGGGCAGGCTAATCAAGTGCTGTGGGTAAATTCTTCAAATACAAGTATAAATAAATGAGACAAATGCACACAGTGACTTGCCTCTGAAGGTCTAAAAGCCTGGCCACTACCATTCTTTGTACTCACTATTCTGCCTTGTGTAGCTTCTCCCAGGAGCCCTCCAAAAGTGATTACAGGAGACATACAGGCACAGTATAGGAAAAGAATCGAGGCCAGGCACTGCAGGCTTAATGCATCCTTGAAGTCACTCAAGAAAAAAGGTGCTTTCCTTTGGATGTCAAGTATCAAACCACCAAAAAGCCTAAATAGGTGAGATGAAACTCGTCAAACTGTACACTAATGGATTCTAGCTAGTTCAAAACTATGGGCTACACATGACTGCCGGTGCCTATTGCCAGCACAAATTAGCTATTTCATAATCCAGATTAACGCATAACAGTTTAAAATGTAAATGAGAATCTTATCCATTCCAATTCTGCAGTATTCCAAATACAATCAAGTAGGTTATCCACATTTTTAAAAGCTGGCTAGGTATTTTTGTATATGGGCTAGATACTGAAAAAACACCTTTGCAAACAGGTTTACCTAAATAATGGTTTAAATCAAATCTGTCTTACGATATTCAAAACAAGGAACAGAAGAAACATGCTAAACCTCAACCAAGACCACTGCACTGATACATTTCAGTATTACTACTTCAATAATTAGTTGTAGCTTTTTGATATGAATTCTCTACAAACATATGGTTGGGTCCATAAATAAATTTTGGTCTACTATTTATAACAGTGTTTTCATCTGGAGCACAGAGATATTCTATAAATAGAAATACAAAACCAAACCTATATAAGTCAGTTCAACTTGGTACGTTAGTATCAAGAAGTTAAAAAGCTTTTTATATTTTCCAAAAAAATTTCCAAGACTCAAAAATACTAGGTAAAATTTGCACCTACAAAAAAATGATTTTATTTTGAAATATTAAAAAAAAATTAGCTCCTAAGAAAAACAATAGTCCTATCTAGAGATAATTCTGTGGGCAGAAATGAACTTCTCAGCTCCACATACTGTCTGCAAAAAGGCAAAAATTAAGTATAATAAAGCCAAAATGGTAAAAATAAACACAAATATTGTACAGTCCTTGCTAAGGTTATGAGAAAGACACATTTCATCTGGAACTTTATCATTTTGCGGATAACAACACTGTACATCTTTTCCAGGATTTCTCAGCTGAATTCATCTCTACTCTCTCATATGAGATATTAAGGTTTAATCTTAACCAGGTACTTGTGATGTTGTGGACTTTTTTGGAAAGTATTTCACAATTAACAAAGAGCAACAATGCAACTCAACTGAAATAAAGTCCTTCAATTCCATTTCAGATCTAAAAGAAACCTAACCAATTTATATTCCTTGTTGCTCCATTTTGTACGTTTAATATAACAGATTTGCATTAATGGAAATTTTTAGTACATAGCCCAATACTGAGAAGTATATTCCTGCTATAACTGTGATAATTGCATGCTCTTGACAATTAAAAATTAAAACCCAACTCTTAAAAGTCAGTTAGTTAAATTAGGTTGCATCTTATACGAAATCCTTTGCAAATGTGTTGAGAAACATTGCCACAGGCTTGAAAATGCTTTAAGCAGACTGGCATTTATAGGCAAGAATCCAACACTTGAAAAAGGATGCGCTCTGACACTTCTACCATGATTTTTTATGTTCAAATGTCATCACTAAAAAACTGTGAAGATTTATCACTTCTTTCTTTACAGTAGCTAGTATTTAGGGAAGTGAACACACCTTCCAGTTCTCTCAAGTTCAGGTCCAGCATGATGCCCTTCTTGTTTGAGAGTCTCTCCTGTAGAAGTAGATCCATTTGGAAATTTAGGTACCTTCCTTTTCTCCTACAAGGGGGGGGGAAATAAAGGGAAAGAAAAAAAATTTACTTTGAGAATGTCTTTAGGCCAAAAAGTATAATTCAAAGATAGTGTGCAGAGACTGTATGCCTTCCAAACCTTTTTCATATTCCCAGCTTATCAGCAGTCCTCGACTTGCCGAATTCATCTTTTGTTGAGTATGGACAACTAGAACTGTACAACAGTCCCAAAAAGATCGCACTTACTAGTACCTTGCACAACAGTTTTATCTTCCCTCTTTCTACACCAAATATGTCCCCAAGACATGATGAAACAAAGCCTACCTTTTCAAGACACAGTAGAGACTCAACCACGAGGCCTAGAAACCTTTAGATTTTTTTTCTCAATCATTTCCAGAGCAGAAGCCTCTAGCTTCTAACAGAAACTGACCTCACTTCATGGCATGCACAGTATTTAGCTGAAGCATAACTGAGAAATCATTCCAGTATAAATGAGAAGTCATTGCCCTATTAAGCAAGCTGCTCACCGGATCCTCATAAATTTCTCAGCTGAGCTTGTCTGCCAGAAACCCCCGAGAGCTCTGCTTATTTTGGAAACGAGTTATGTGGTAGCCTCAGGCTATTCATGAATGAACTGGGCTGCTCTCACCCCTTCCCTTCCACCCACTCCCCCAACCACCACAGGATTCGACACCAACATCAACCTTCTGAACCAAGAGCACCGGTCTCTCCCCCAGCTTTTGATCCCGGCGCCAGGAATTCCCCTCAGTTGTAAAGAGGCAGAAAGGGACAAAATCAGAGTCTGTCTAAGGTCCATCTTCCCCCTGGCTCTCATTCTAGGCTTGTATCACAGCTGAGCGGTATGATCCGTTTTATCCATTTAATAAGCATTCTGTGAACATTATATGCTAACCAATACACATTAAAACATTTCAATATTGCATGCAAACAGAAGTTTCTATAAGAATTACAATATTCTTCCTGATCATTGTTGGATTAATAACAAAATTTGTAACATGAACTCAGGTACAACTTCAGACCAGTTCTAGCTGTCACATGAACTCATTTCAGTATTACAAAAGGAAATATAGTAAATACTATTTACTTAGCAGCAGAGCAGGAAATTGATAGACACCTTTACTTAACTGGACAATCCACTTCATCCAGGTGGATGTGGGGGCCTTCCTGATGCTTCACTATAGTTTGTACTCAGCACACAAATTTACTTGAAAAATGGCATTTTCAAAGTAAGAATCAGGAGAGCTCTCTATTGGACCTTTTATTTTATTTTTCTCCTTTTACCTGGGAAGGAACATTTTTTGGTGGCTCAATTCGTATAGATGGATCCCATTCTCCTGGAGGCAGGACTGTTACTTGGTCTAAAAATTCATCAATTCCTGACAATAAATCATTTCGGTCTTTTGCTTTATAGGCAACATCATGGAAAACCTACAAGAAGAATGTACCCAATATTGATTTTTATTTTTTTTTTAAGAAGAATTGATTACAAGGAATACTTCATTACTTTTAAAAAGGTACAGGAAATTTTTTAAATGTTGTTAGAACTTAGGCTTTTACTTTACTTGCATACTTTTGCATTAAGAACTACCTGCATCCACCTCCCCATGGAACACAAAATAAGGAAGTTCTGTCTTCAAACTCAAAAGGAATACTGAGTTCATTTCTAAAATTAATTAAAAAGTTAATCTTCAATATTCATTAAAGGAAGTTCATGTATTATTGCCTGAATAATTCTGCACTACAGCCACTGTACCACTATGCTCTGCTAAATCAGGATAAAAATACTTTAAATAACCTTAGAAGTAAAACACAAGTTTTTGTTGAGAATAAGAACTTCATTTGCATACCTCTAGCTCAACTGATTTTAAAAGACTTCTTAAAAAGCACATGAAAGCAATCCTCCTACTACTCAAAAAACCCCCTACACTGTTTTACAGACTTCTACGGCACAAACTACGAACTGACACACAGGCAGTATTTTAAAAAAACAATCCCTGAATCCCAAGACACATTTTATACACAGAGAGAAAAAAATGCTAGTTTCTCTACAAAAAAAAAAGTCTGCAGAAGATGATCCTAAATTGCTTCTCTATATTTGAAAGCTGAACCATTTGTCTCCAGAGACCTGACCATTAAGTCTTCTCATTGTAAATTAGATCTTTTAAGCCTGTTTAGGTCTTTTTAGACCACTAATTCATATTTTTTTATTTTAATGATCTACAGTATTCCTAAACATCAGCCTATGTAAAAAAATTAGAAGCTGCAACTAAAGCTTTTAATACTCAGTTGTCACAATCAACAAATAATGTATTCACAGACTAGCTGCCCAATTGTATAACGACCAATTTCTGGTTCATATTTCTAAAATTTTAAATTGTTCTAAAGAAATACTAGCATTTCTGCTAGATAACCCAAATAATTATCAGCGCTTCAGGAGGTGGCGCTCCATGCAAAGTCAGAATTCAAGCATCCTCATTTTGCTCAGTAAGACGACAATAGTCTTATAAAAAGCCCCCACTCCCTTGCGCTCTTTAAAACCGTCCACCAGGGCTCTAAGTGTATGACTTTAAATGCCTAGTAAAATTCTATTTTAAATTATTTGAGCAAGCTTTGACTAAAAAAAAGACACCTGTGATGACTCAAAGGGAAAAATTAATTTACCATTACCTAATTCACTAACACAAGAAATAAGTAGGATTACAGTTCTTCGTTTAACTAGGGTTTTTTTTCCCCTTTAACCTGTCACTCCACAATACATTTACTGAAAACAGTCAGGAAATACCTTATTCTAGACTTCTTCCACTACAAGTGTTTAAAATACATTACTCACATCATCTGTCATAAGTGTTGCTATTGATCTTCCAATTTCATGGTACTGTGGAGCTTTTCCTGCTGGTCCCAGCAACAAAAACAAAAACCTGTGGAGAAAGCCATCGAGATGCATACGACTGACTCCTTCGAATACACTCAGAAGGAACTTTCGAATTCACATTTAAAGAAAATGTAGTGGTGAAATGAAAATATACTCTTCACCATTCCATATCTTAAAGACTGCTGCAAGAATAAGAAAAACTTGCCTCAAAGTCATTACTGGAAGGAACTCGAATGCTGAACCAAAATTACTCTGAAATCTTCTTGATTAGGCCTAATTTTTCAGCTTCTTATAAAGCTGTAAGTGTAGTGGAAATCCACAGGCTAGAGCTCCACAATTATTTCCTCCAGATTCTAAGCCTGACATTCTCACTGGCAAAGACCCTTTAGTGAGGGCCGAGGAGTTTTATGACCTGTTCCAGCCTCCCTGATGACCACTTCTTCACGGAGCTAAACCCCCCTCGTGTGCTGTGACTGGGTATGTCACACAACAGATGCACAGACACATTTTAAACAAGACACTGGACATAACTCTTACAGGCATATGCTCCACCCTGTGTCAGCGGGAAGGAAGGGAACCTGCATTTTGAACACCTAAGAAGGTAAAACTGGTGTTTTGGGAAGGGAATCCAACCTGGGGGCAGGTCACAGCATATGTTCATGATCTCCATTTCCAATCACAATAATAGTTATCACAACTTTTTTTTAAACAAAAAAAAAAACCCACACTTGAACAGGTCTAGTATCTTCTAAGTTCAAAAAGAATACAAACCAAAGAGTGAACCTCAGCAATTATTTTCACAACCATCTTCCTATACTCCATGAAAATGAAGTTCCTAAGTACAACACATTTGTAAAAAGTAGTGCCTTCTTTCACCTCACAGCACAGAAAGCTCAGTGTTATTTTTCCTTTGCAAGTTGACTGTCCTAACTGAAACTGAGATTGCATCTTCAGAATCAGGTATGCTATTCCAAATCGGCAAGACTACACCATCTTGAAAAATGTAAGACAGGATAATTTTAGCTACGTTAATACAATAATCTGTATGCAGGAATTTCGGAATTTCCCATGAAACATTATGAGCGCTAACATCAACTACCCTTTGAAAATTCTCACATCTATTTACAAGAACACTGTCCAGATTATTTTTGCCTTTCATTAGAGTATACAACGAAAATCACAAAGTTAAACATGCACTCTGATCACTTTTAAAACATTTAAAAAACACCAAAAAAAAGGTAAGTGTACAAATTTATGCCAAACACCACAGAATAGCCCAATACATCAATGTGCACAGACAATGAAGCGTCCTCCACAATGACTGATGAAGTGACCAGCTCTCTGCATCAGGGGACCTGCATTTTGACATTTGGATCATCTGTGGCAAATACACCCACACTGGCGAGACCCGTGGCTTGGGGGGAGTGAGGGTGGGTGCACCAGGCCAGACAGCATATTGCAGATGGAAAACCAATTCAATGTATTAGATGTAGATTGCTTACCCCAGTGTCAATTATCTGAATTTGGGCATATAATAAAAAAGTTAAGTTTTTCCACCACTGAGGTTATTCATACACAGAGTACTTGTAGGCAAAAGAGCAGAGCTTCTGATTTCAGACTTGGTGGACTCTTCCCCGTTGTCACGCTGTGTCACGCTGAAGGCAACTACAACAGCCTTCATGCCCATCTTTAAAATGGCAACACAAGCTTGGAAGACTCATTACTTTTACTCCAGGTCAGCTACCAGTTTCAACTTCTGCACTTGCTTCAGACAGCATCATTACACATATTTAAAGCCTCCAGAGCATTTTATGGTAGACCTCATTCCTTCAAATTTCGCAGCAAATCACTAGCATCACATTAACATAAGTCTACATTTCTTGAGCTTAACAGAGTATGTATAAAATTTTATAACTATTTGAGATCTTAAATATTATTATCATATTGTATAAGTAAAGCCAGACTTTCTAGGCATTTATTTACCGTGTAGGAACCGGAACCTCTGTGAGACCCGAGAGAAGAACAGCAGGGGAGAGCCTCACAAAAGCAATAATAGGTCTTTCTAAAAAATCTACTTCTCCCACTAACACATTTGATGCTTCTGCTCCTGAAGGAATTTTCCTCATGAAGTTCATATCAACCTATTTATACAAAGATGAAACAAGTGTTTATTCCCTTACATTTGTTAGTAGAAATACTATAACATATAGGTTTATCAGTATTTACTAGACATTTATGCTACAAAGAAAAATAAAAAACAAATTAAACATCCCACAGTACAGGAAAGACAAACATATATATAAAATGTCAGCCAGCCAGCCAACGAATAATAAACAATTTTCTAAAAGCTAAAATTATTACCACCTACTATGTATAGAAGACTCCAAGATGCACAACCACTTTTCTAATATTACTTATGATTACAAACATTCCGTGATAGGATGTAACAAAATCTATGCACAATTAATTAAGGAGAGTTCATGTAATTACACATGGTTTCTACAATGCAATTAGTTATTTCACAGCTGCATATTTAAAATACATCATAATTTTGAAAAATAATTTGTATGTTCATGTTCTCATCCATGAAGAATATGATGGCTGAAAATCTTAACTTTCATTTCTGGACATGATTACAGTACAGCATTAGAAAATGGTACAGCACATGAACTCTGCGTTCACATACACACACACATACACACACACACAAGCACCACGTACATTGCTATCTAGAGAACTTACAGATGGCCTCTTGAGTCCCACACCAAGTGTGCCACAACTACAGTGCCAGGAGGCTGACTCCTGCCCAACAGGAGACAAGGCAGGTGTACAGAAGGACAGGCCAAGTAAAAACATAAAAACTGTGACAAAGGAGCAGGAATAAATGGCACCTGCCATGATTAGATGAGAACTAAAATGTAAGTTAGCTGTCCTTAAATCTAATTATTTAACTTGGCAAACCAATTATCCTAGTGTTTCACATTACAGATGACACTACAGACTGAGTTTTATAGTAAAAGCCATAATTGAACTTGACCAGCAAATTTAAGTTATGAACGAAATACAAGGGATTTACAATCTCACACAAGGTTTCCTTCAGTAAGCAGTATCATACACTTCTAAGGATTAAGTTGTACAGTAACTTTTGTACAGCAAACTCACAAAACATTTAAAGTACATTGCCCTTAAAAGCCTGATTTGAAGAAAAAAAAAAAAAACAAACACACCACATCACCCACAGCCCACACACACCAAACCCAAAAGTCAGTCCTAGGGAAAAAAAAAAAAGTTACACCATCTACAACATTGTTTTTATAGGAGTCTTTTATACCAGATCTGAAAATATCTCCCTCTGCATGAGAAAGTGCAGCGGCTGCACACCTTTTAAGTTACCAAAATACTGAAGAGATGTCAAACGAAACCAAAAATTCAGACCCACTGCGAAGAGTTTCAAAACATCTGACACATTTAGCCTATGCCATATTCTGACACTCATACATAAAAGTTATGTCTTTGTACCTATGTCTTGTGTATACTCGTACACATGTGTACAGGTATATGTCTTTGCTGCAACTAAGAGAACAGTTACAACCACCACATTTTTTGTTACATAGTTATTTTGTGCTAAAAATTAGGATATTTAATGTTATTTACCTTACTGAAATCAACCGTGCTGTTTTCTCTGCTTCCTCCTGTCCCAGTACCTTTAATGTCTCCACTTTTCCCAGTGTCTAAATTTCCAGGTGCTGACTGTGGAGATGCTAATAGCCCTAAATTAAAACAAAGGAGGCAAGTTCAAAATGGTGTATGAAGTGAAATGAGTATGCGACACGACCAAAACTCAGTGTGGCAGCTTGCTTGAAGCAAATGTGCAAGTTATTCAGTAAGAGCGCCCTACATTAGTATCATAAATGCAACATTAACAAGTCACTGTGCTGTCAAAACCATGACATAATTTCAAAAATTAAAATTAAATATTGCCCAAATGGTGGCCATTTGCAGAACAGTCACCAGCAAAGAAAATAAGAGCTACTTTATTTGTAGAAAATACAATAAGTGTTGACATTTTAAACGTAACTGCTCTAATAGTTGGTCAATCGCATCTTCACTATATTCAGAAGTCCTCAAACACCAAAAGCAAACACCTCTGCTATCCAGTCTGCCGTGCAGCAGTTACTTCAATTGTAAAAAACCTCAGCAAGCCTCAGGCTACAACCACAAGGAATGATACCCTGGTAGTTAAAGCTGAAAAAGCAAATAGGGTACTACATCAAGGACAGACAGCTTGCAAACCCTGATTTCAATCAACAGACCAAAGCTCCAACTATTGATCTGACCAAATGTTACTATACAAAATAGTCTCTCTAACACGTTAGCTGAAGAGGCACGTACAATACAGTTATTCAAGTCCAACACAGATCTTCCCTCTACCATCTGCCCTAAGACACCATTTTATGTAGCTTGCTATGCTATCAGCAACACTGAATTGCAGGTTCTGTGAAGGGTGCAAAAGGCAAGTAACCCAGGTGTTCACCGGATTCTGTGTTGCACCTTACCCAACTACCATTTAAAAGCTGGTCTAGGCATGCATAACCAAGCCCATATCCTGTCTTTTGGATTAGAGAGTTTTTGCTTGCTCAGTTTAACACGCGCTAGGAGTGCATTTGGCCTTGCCTGTCTACACTAGACCTTTCAGATGTGGTGATAAACATGCTTTAACCTGCTTTCAAAACGCCATCTAGACAAAGACTTAAGTCCACACATTGTATTACATGCAGAAAGTTTGCATTTAGGTCAAGTGTCACTCTCGTCAAGATAAAACTGAAGTTCTCACTGGCCACCTTTCGGCTATTGTTCTAACATAACTACTGCTGCGTAACTACTTCCATCCCTCCATGTTTGTAGTTTAGTCATTTGACTTTTTTTAGCATTTCAAATGACAACTGAATTCGCTTTATTTTATCCCCAAACATATTTCCAAAAAACTCTTTCAAAGAGCCTTCATATCAATGGAAGACATGCAGGTCCAAGCTTTTACCATTAATTTTCATTCTTACAATTCACAGGGGTGTAAGTGATGCGGGGTAGTTATTCCTGAAGCAAAAACCAAATGAAGTTAATAACCTGCAATTTCCTTTCTGAATCCTACCAAACACAAGTAATTAGCTAATACTACAAAAATCACATTCAGTTAGCTAGACCAAAGAAAAAAAAAAAAATACATTCTACCCTTCTGCTCCGAGATGTATGCATTATTCTCAATAACAACTAATAGCAACCACCTGTGAAATCAGCTGTTCAAAGTATTTAACTGTGTAAGAGTGGTTAAGATGTGTTCGCAGGACTAGAAATAGAACTGAAATATTAAACAGTTGTTGCAGAACACCATAATATAAAAGTTCATACATAAACTTTTTTCACTTCTTTCCCCCTACACAACAATAAAGGTAACTGAAGATGTATATGACTGATGAAAGATGAGTAATAATGCATCATTTTGCACTTTTTGCTGCGTGAGCAAGAGCAAGCAAGGACTAGAACAAAAAGTGGAGAGACAATCATGGAGGAGGATAGAGAATAAGGATTCTACAATACTGAAGTGATATTGATTCTTCTAAAAGGTTTGCCTTCAAAATTTCTCCAACCAGTTACAGTTCAGGCTTGCAAGTTTTGGCAATGATACAGAAACATTTGTCTGATCCTAAACCACGTGTAAAGTTTTCCTTTCTGTTGGTCTTCCACTTGGACAGACTGCTGCGCTCACATGAGAACACTGGTTACGGATTTTCAGACCTGAGCAAGCATTTCCATATGACAATGCATTTCATTCATGCGCATCACCCAATCTGACACTCGCAGGGAAACTCAGAATAAAAAATTATCATCTCTAATAGCGGAACACTTGTACACACATCTCACATGAATTAAAAAAAAAAAAAAAACACACCACACAAAAAACACACACTTATTTCATTCTCTTCTCCAGCTCAGCAAATACAGAATTAGAGCCTACTACTAAAAATACCACAAACTAGTTTCTTCAAACTGAGACAGAAATTCATCTAGTCTTACCAAGCTACTGAGGAGATCATTAAAAAATACACAGTACACTTCTTGATGTTGTTATGCAGATACACCACCTGCCTCCTTTGAAAGACAACAGTGGACTGAGTCTTTCATAAGTCTGGATTAAAGCTTCATAAGTTCACTAAAGTACTTATAGCTCTACCTTCACTAAAAACCATGTACATTTTCTAATGAACTACACTTAGTTCAACACCTTGATCACAAAAATCTAATGGACATTATCTCCTGGGGGAAAAAAAACAAGAATACAGACATTTGCCTCACATCTCCACTTCAGTTAAAAAAAAAAAAAATTGGGGCAAATAAGATGAGTTCAACATCTAAGCATGACTCTTCCAATATTATACAGGCAAAATTTATGAAACAGGAAACTTCTAAATACAAAGTCACACCATATTTGTGTTTGAGGAAATAAAAATCAATCTTTAAAAATAAACCCCAATGCAGCCTTCATGTGAAAAAAAAAAAAAGAATCAGAAGGCAAAACCTAGAAGGCAAATATGTAAACATTTCTGAATTCTTATTTTCAGTAAGTAATTACTGTCAGAGCAAAGCTGTTCTAAATATTATTTTAGTTCATTTTAAAGTATATCATTGAACAAAAAGACCCCCGAAAACAGGCTGCTTTGCTGTTGTTCACAGACATTAACAAAGCCTAATGATGCTGGTGAACCAGTGCTCATCTTTAGCTGTGACGCAGCTCTCTTCCTAGCTCCACCTACGGTATTCATTATTCAACAGTTTCAAAGATGGGAAAACAAAAACTGTTCTTGAACTGATGACCAAATTAAAAAAAACATTGTTAAAGAGAACCCTTCACGTGGCTGACTTACTGTAAACTGGTGACTGGCTGATAAAAATCAAGTGGTAGGCTGAAAGTGTGCCCCTCTTTCCTTCCTTTACAGTAATTCACGTTAAGTTCAGCAACTTTCCAGCTATTTAGAAAGACTAAAAAATAAAGTCTGAATAGCAGATGGCCAAGGACAGACGAATGCTAAACAGAAGAAAGCCATCTATTATAAAATTAAAACAGTTCCTAATCCTCACAGGAGGCAAACCCAACTCAATCATACAGACATGGAAAATCTTCTGGCTGCAATATTCTGGATTACTAGAGAGGTAATACAGGTCATAATCTATAGTGGAATGGAAGAAGATGATTTTAAAAAAAAAAAAACAAACAGAAAATTACTTCCTCTTCAGTGTTTCCTTCTGAGTCTGTCTCCCAAAACAGAGATTAAGACCAGTTGCAGCCCTGAAGTCATAGTCTGAGAATGTCTTCAGAAGGCATCTCTAAGGAAAAGGTGTCTTTCTGTGGCCAGAAGACTTCCTGAATTAAAAAAAAAAAAGGGAGGGTGGGGGGGCGGAATCCCGAAAACAAAAATGTCTTCCATCATTACTGGTGTTCATCTTTCTCTGGAAAGACTTTTATTTATGGATTAACTGGGAAATCATTCCTTTTAGATTTTTCCGTTATGAGAAACATCCCCTTGAGGCACAAAAGCAATCTGAACACAACTTGGGAGATTCTGGTGAAAAGCTTTATGAGAGATAATAATAGCATCAAGTACTTGATCTTTATTCATTTGCCTTCTCTTGGGTTCTAAAGACCTTGGGTCTGGCATGCTGTCATTCCTGTCAGATGAGCAGAAAAATGAGAAGTGGAAAACCAACTGCAGCTGTTAATCACTTTTGAAAGATCACCCAGGAGAATCTTCATGTGAATTCTCTTAATTTCCCATAAGGAAGTCAGAGTTTTTTGTTTGTTTTTCTGAATTTAAGTAAGGATGGGGCCCCTACTACAACTCAAAATGACAACCTACAACATAATTTGGTCTTTCCTTTTCAGTGACTCGCATGCAAAACATGAAAAGGCAGACAACCACAGCCTTTTCTCTGTCAGCATATTTTCACTGCTGCATGTAACAGTGTGCTCTTACTTACTAAACAAGCGAGGAAGGAAACCAACAAAAGCCTCACTGATCAAAGAATTGAGTGAAATCATGTTCCCCTACTCCTCCCGTACACATAGGCATAAAGCAGACAAACCCACAAGCACAATTTTGGCAAGACAAATTTTGGGGGGGGGGGGGGACACAGGGAC